GAAGGCCAACGGCATCCTGGCTTGTATCAGAAACAGTGTGACCAGCAGGGCTAGGGAGGTGATCGTCCCCCTGTACTCGGCTCTGGTGAGGCCGCACCTCGAGTACTGTGTTCAGTTTTGGGCCCCTCGCTACAAGAGGGACATCGAGGTGCTTGAGCGGGTCCAAAGAAGGGCGACGAAGCTTGTGAGGGGCCTGGAGAGCAAGTCCTATGAGGAGCGGCTGAAGGAGCTGGGCTTGTTCAGCCTAGAGAAGAGGAGGCTCAGGGGTGACCTTATTGCTCTCTACAGGTACATTAAAGGAGGCTGTAGAGAGGTGGGGGTTGGCCTGTTCTCCCATGTGCCTGGTGACAGGACGAGGGGGAATGGGCTAAAGTTACGCCAGGGGAGTTTTAGGTTAGATGTTAGGAAGAATTTCTTTACTGAAAGGGTTGTTAGGCACTGGAACGGGCTGCCCAGGGAGGTGGTGGAGTCACCATCCCTGGAAGTCTTTAAAAGACGTTTAGATGTAGAGCTTAGGGATATGGTTTAGTGGGGACTGTTAGTGTTAGGTTAGAGGTTGGACTCGATGATCTTGAGGTCTCTTCCAACCTAGAAATTCTGTGATTCTGTGATTCTGTGATTGACCACGTCCTTGAAGCATGGCCTCAACGCACGTAGCCGGTGTTCGGGAGGAGGACAGATGTTTTCCCAATGAGAGCCCCCCCCCCCCCCCCTTCTTCTTCCTGTTTCCACCTTTTGTTGCTGAGTGTGACATCACATGGTATGGAATATCCCTTTGGTTGGTTTAGGTCAGCGGCCCTGGTGATGTTTCTCTTCTCACTTTTTTTCCCACCCCCTAGGAGGGTTAGAGAGAGTCTTGATGCTGTGCCAGCACTGCTCAGCAACAGACACAACACTGGTGTGATAACACTGCTGTTCCAGCTGCAAGTGTAGAGCACAGCACTGTATGGGCTGCTGCAGGGAAAGTTAACATTCCAGCCAGACCCAGTACACTGTCAAGTCCTCTATCCCACACTTTCTCAGCTTTGCTAGTAGGATGTTGTGGGAGACAGTATCGAAAGCCTTGAGAAAAGTCAAGGTAGAAGACACCCACTGCTCTCCCGTCATCTACCCAGCCGGTGATGCCATCATAGAAGGCAATGAGGTTGGTCGAGCACAACTTCCCCTTGGTGAATCCATGCGGACTACTCCTCATAACCTTTTTCTCTTCCAATTGCTTGGACATGGCATCCAGAACAAGCTGTTCCAACACCTTTCCAGGGACAGAGGTGAGACTGACTGGCCTGTAGTTTCACGGATCCTCCTTCTTGCCCTTCTTGAAGACCGGAGTGACATTGGCTATCCTCCAGTCTTCAGGCACATCTCCTGTTCTCCAGGATCTTTCAAAGATGATAGAGAGCAGTTTGGTGATCACATTTGCCAGCTCCCTTAGCACACGCGGATGCATCCTTTCGGGACCCATGGATTTCTGTGTGTTGACCCCACTCAGATGCTCCCGAACCACTCCCTTGTCAACAAGGGGGGAGATCTCCATTTCCCAGAGTCTTTCTCCTCCCTCCAAAGTCGAGGATTCCCAGGGGGGGTTCCTTGAAGCCAAGACTGAAGCAAAGAAAACATTCAGTATCCCTGCCTTCTCAGCATCTCCCGTTACCAGGACACCCCCCTCATTCAGCAAGGGACCCGCATTATCCCTAGTCTTCCTTTTACTGTTTACATACTTAAAAAAAAACTTCTTAATATCTTATTTTCTCTTTTGCAAGCTTCATCTCTAGGTGGGCCTTCCTCGTCGCGTCCCTGCAGGCCCTGACAACACTTCTGTACTCCAAAAAGTATACGAACTCTATGAACTCTATGAACTCTAAAAGCTTTGTGTGGGAGGGAAAAAGTCTGCATTTAAATGCCTGTTGTTCCAAAACCCTTTAAATTAAGCAATTGCCCAGTTTTAATATTTAATCTTAAAGGTGAACGGTGATTTTTAGCACATATTACCTACACTGAATGGCTTACTTCCAATGGGCAGAGTATGACTGCGAAGAGAGGCAAGATATCCTCACATGGGGTAAGGAGAGCAGCTCCCCAGTGAGCTGGGAGGTCCCATTCAGTTTCTAGCACTAGCACAAAGACAACAACTGTCCCAGGATATCATCTTCGTCATCCAGATGATGTGATGCTTCTGGAGCTGCTGACACCCATTCTCCCTGAGAAAGTGATCAACCCCACCAAGATTTAATCCATTTTAAAGGTCTAAGCCCAGAACTGTGTCCAGGGAAAGATGTTTAATTGTGAGAAATAATTTATTCTGATCCAAACCAAAATCAGTAAAAGTATCAGATTCCCTAAAGGAAAGGCAAAGCCTGCACTCTCAGGCCTGAGAAGCCAGAGGTAAAATAGCTTATTTGGAGGGTTTTGTCACTGTAGCAGCACCCCGTGGGCAGGATACACTCAGGTATAGCTGGGAGAGTGGGCAGTTTCCATGCATGCCCAACTAAGGCAAGGAAGAAAGAAAAGGACCACAGTTGGATAGGTACAGCTCCATGTATCACCAAAGAGGCAGTCATTGCTAATTGCTAGCATGTCAGAGAAGGAAACAACATGCCCAAGTCCAGCCTCAACTTTAACACTATCTTTCTGCATGGCCTGCAGATTGAGCAATGTCAGCACAGACACCTTGGAAGAAATTTTCACTAGCCATACTGCTGTAATGCCCCAGGACATCAGCTAAGTGCTCTGCAACAGCCTGCAAGCCCCAGCAACCCAGTGTGGGGGCTGGTATCTCATCCTATACCATGCCCTCCTGGGAAACTGATTTTTGGTTTCTGACAGGTGTGACCTTCTGCTCCAGCTAGACTAACCCAGGACAGAGAAAGGAAATGCTGAGTGTATCTCCTGAGCAGCAAAGAGAATTTCTTTTTCTAGCTCAATAAGCAGATGGGTACCACCAAGAAAGGGCAGTTGCCTTTGGGGCAGACAGAATAGATCATCTCCTTTCCTTCAGAGTGGAGGCCATAATTCTCTTATAAAGATTTTCTCCCTCTACCACGTCTCCTTTCTCACCTTGCTCAGGATGTGCCTTCTATTTGACAGAACATGGTCTATTTGGGGAGTCCAAGTTATTAAGATCCTTTCTCCCATGGGAGCGCAGGAACTGGTGTATCACTCAGCCTTTCATAACCATTCAGTTTTCTTCTGGAGCAATATGCTCAACAGCCTGTTTTTAGCAGAAAACACGTTTGAACAGAGGTTAAAAAGAATAGACTTTGGTCACTTCCTTCTTCCAGAAGGGAGGAGTAAGTGGAAAACAGATTTTATGTTTTGCAAGCATTTCCTCCAATTTCCTGCAGCATCTAAATTTTAAAAATACAGTGTTACATCCCCACTATGCCTTCCACTGATCTCCAGAGGTTTTAAGGAATTCTCCTCATGCCCCTTTTCAAGGGGTGCAAATCCTTACAGTAATGTAGTGCTTTTCCATTCCACATGCGTACTGTGGGGCCTGCCAAAGCAATTCAACCAGCCAACTTCCAGCCTAAGACTACAGACCCACCTGTTTCTTCCTTTGACTACCCTGATGATCTAGTAATACCCATAATCAACAGGAGCCTCCAAGACTTAGCCAGGTAATTGAGTTTCTCCCCTCCAATGTTGGTCTTACCATTCATCTTTGCACTTGGGGAGATAAATGTACTAGGAGACCTTACAAGCTGCCATCAATGGTAATCTTTGCCATTAAGGATCAAATCTGTAATTGCATCTGTAACACAGCACTTTGTCCATGTTCCCTGGGTCCATAGCACTCATGTTTGCCACTGCATCACACACTGGCATGTAGCCAGTCTCTCTCCTTGGCTAAATCAACAGCACCAGCAGATTTCCTTCCAAGAAGCCTCCATCGAGTGCACCCTCCAAGCCCTTTCCTCCAGCTACACCTCTGCTCTTGTAGGAGGGAATGTCGTGGTTTAACCCGGCCGGCAGTTAAACACCACGCAGCCGTTCGCTCACCCTCCCCCCTCCCTCTCTGGGACGGGGGAGAGAAATGGAAAGTGAAGCCCATGAGTTGAGATAAAGACAGTTTAATAAGACAGGAAAATAATAATAACAAAATAATAATAATAATAATAACAATAATAATACAATGGTGATAATAGGGAAATAATAATAATATGTACAAACAAGTGATGCACAATGCAATTGCTCACCACTCGCTGACCGATGCCCAGCCTCATCCCGAGCAGTCCGGCCCCCTCCCCCCGGCTAGCCACCCCTATATATTGTTTAGCATGACGTCAGATGGTATGGAATACCCCTTTGGCTAGTTTGGGTCACCTGTCCTGGGTCTGTCCCCTCCCAGCTCTTACTGCACCCCCAGCCTGCCCGTTGGCAGGACAGAGCAAAAGGCTGAGATGTCCTTGGCTTAGTATAAGCACTGCTCTGCAACAATTAAAGCATCGGGGTGTTATCAGCACTCTTCTCATCCTAAGCCAAAACACAGCATTCCACCAGCTACTAGGAAGAAAATTAATTCTGTTCTAACTGAAACCAGGACAGGGAAGAAGGTGGGAAGGAGGGGGAAAGCAGCAGTTCCCTAAGGGGATCATCCTAAAAGTACAAAGCTGGAGGGACTGAATAAACGTAGAACTATGCAGCACCAATAAATACAAATTAAACTCATAACAGGAAGTGAAATATTAGGGCCAAGGTAACATTTGGACTGGAGGTTCAGCCAAGCTTTGCTTTAAATATTTTATTGCTGCAGATAAAGAAAGAGCGTATCCAACACAAATTTGTCTGCCTTCTTCTCTGAAGTCACTCAGGGCAGCTGGGGGACTGTTATCATAGAGGGTCTTCACCACGCTGTCTGTAGGGTGATCAAGCTGCTTCTCCTCTGGAACCTTCAGCCTCTGGGTTTGTCTGTCCAACACCACCCATCGATGAGGGAAGAGAAAGAGGGCCCATCCATCATATTTTAATCCCTTAATTCCGTCTTTCTCCTGTCTCCACAGCACAGAGCCCCACTGCAGCAGACCCCTTGCAACAAGCCTACGCTAGAGTGCAGCAGTATGCAGGTCGTTAGTATTAACACTTTCTCCCAATAAACCGTTCTCTTCTCTAAAGCCTTTAATCTCTGAACACACCTAAGGGGGCTGGGGGAAGGGAGGTATTTGCTGAGACAGGGGCACCAGGACCACAGATCCTCAGATTAAATTTGCATTACTCATGAAAACAAAGACCCAGGGTCTTCTTCCCCTAAGGAGGCAATCTTCTACCATAAAACACCAGGGAAAGGCTCCCACTGACCTGTACCTTGGTGAAGCTTCTTTGACAGGACCAGGTTGGGTCTCCTTAGCACAACGAACAAGTGGAAAATCAGGACACTTGGTTTGGGGGCCACTTTCTGTAGCAACAAAATTGGGTGTTTCCTGAGTGCTGTGATGTGTAGGGGAGATGAGCAGTCAGACCCTGCTGTGCCTGGCGGGTTTTGGGATGTCTGCACATTTCCATGTTGTAGGGTATGTCTACGCTTTGCAGGTTGGCCATGCGTGAGACACCTCAGCACTGGTTAGCACTTGTGTGGCTGGAGGTGCAGCTGCTGAAGCAGGGGCTACCACACCAACCCCAAAAGCTATTGTCTCTGGGGTCAGCCTTAACACACCGCTGGCCATATCCTGGCTAGTTAGTCTGAGACCTGCTTAGAAGCTGCAGACGTACTCCTGGTTCCTCAGCAGCTTCTTCACAACTTCCAGTGGATCAGCTTCTGCTGACTCTCACGTTGCCCTGCACGCAGAGCTGCTCCTTTGCGGCTGATGGACTGACACCAGCCAAAGTGACTTGGTGCATATCATGACCCTGCTGTGTTCAGCCTCCCCTTGCAACGTGTCCATGGCCAATGTTGCGAGGAAGCTGCCACCCCAAAGTCATTATTTCCTGTGGTAACTGGAGCAATCACGAGCTCCTGCTGAGGAATGGCTATTATCTCATGTCAGCATTGTATCCGGAAACTTAATTTAATTCTCCATGTAGGGCTTCATTTGCCAGTGTTTTAGTTATTGTCATTTATTTCTTGTGAGGTTTGATAGCTGGGAAGCAGCTCAACCCTTTGAGCTGTTAATTAACCCCTCTGCACACACATGGCTCCTATCCCCCTCTCTCTGGGCTCACAGGTGACCCATACTCTGTATTTTTAGCAGCACGGCACATCATCTACCATCTGTGGTACTGAATGGCTCCCCTTGTCTGCTTGGTGGGGGAGCTGAGGTGGGGAAAATTGTTTAACTGGCGCACACTGTTTCCACCATGTCTGTGTGAAAGAGAAAGTGTCTGTAGACATAAAAGGAAATATATATCTGAGAGTGTATGCACAAGTGTGCCCACACAGGGTGTGTGCATATGAAGGTTATAGTAAGAGAGAGGAAATACACGTGTGAACTGTTACTATGAGCATGTGAATTAGTCAGAGTGCAAAAGAGATTACACAGGGAAACGTGAATGGGTGCTGCATGTGACTGCCAGCACGGGCATCAATGTGCTAAGTTTGTCAGTGAGCGTGCTTGTGATACCATCAGGGATGGTTATGCATCTCAGTGGAGACCCCCGTTTAGACCACGTGGCTGTCCTCAGTGCTACTGTTAGGATGCTGAAGGGAGGTTGGGTCTTCAGGGCCAAGTGTCATCACCTGGAGCACCACTGTGATGTTTCTACTGCATCTCAGGCTGTATGAGGTGGTTAAAATACAGGGAGAAAGTCCACCTCCGGCTTGGTGTGATTGTTTAGTGTGAAAGCTCCATGCTTCCCAGCACTGAAATCTGTCCTTTCTTCTCTCCCTTTCTCTCCCCTATAGCTGCTTATCCTGCTGCTTATGGCCAGATTAGCCAAGCGTTCCCACAGCCGCCTCCCATGATCCCACAGCAACAGAGAGAAGGTGAGTGAATGGCCTGTTCTTTCTGGACCCAGCATGCCATCCCCACCACATTGGTTCCCCTTCTCACACACCTAGAGAGCATCCATTAAATGCCCCATTGCTTCAAATCCCTGGTCTACTGAGCCTTTTCTCAATTTCCATATGTAGCATCATTGTCATTAACTATAATATGCAAGAACATCCTTGTGGGGAATAGCTGCTGAGATCTATCTTCTCAGCCCCCAGGGACAGGAGCACGCTGATGTGCATGGGCCATGGAAAGGCCTGGTAGCAAAGTAGGCAATAACATAAAGTGTTTTTTTTTAAAGACAGTCAGCAAGAATGTGGATCAAAACCACAATCGCATTGGAATAAATAATTTAATAGGAAACAAAGCACTGGTGGCCCTTAATTAGAGGCCAGTAATGTTATTTCAGACACCTGCTATTTAGTGGAGCTGATAGAGTCCTTTCAGCCTCCCTCAGTAATCAGGAAACAGAAATCAGCCCTTTTAGAGTGCAATATCTGTATCAGGGTGAGATGAATCATCTAACAAAGGTACCTATTTCTTTACATTGACTGTGAGAGGAGCCAGGGTTAAGTAGTCTATAGGACAGGCAGCACTAGAGACATGAAAAGTAAGGAGAGGTGAATCTCCCCTAAATACATGTAAATGTTTTGGGAGATATCCACGTCAGGCAATGCTTTGCAACCAAAGGGTTGCCTGAATGAAGAGAGGAGTCCATCATGTTTCCTTTACAGTCAGTGGGTAACAGTGGGATCCTCAGAGGCAACATACTCAGGTAGTCCAAACTGTCCTTCAGGGAGTCCACTGCTCTCACTTGAATAGAAGAGGAGACTGCTTGCCTAAGTGAGGCATTTAAATCAGATGCTTCAGCCTAGTGTAGAGACCCTCATTTTAAAATTTATATTTCAGCTTTTATCCTCTATTAGGTCACTCATTCAGATATATGATATGTGCTATTATATATATATTATAACATTTAATATTTTAATATAGTGTAACAGAGTGAAATGAATCAAGATTATACTATCAAACTAAAACATTCTGATGGCCTAGAATTACTTTGAAGGAGAAATCTGATTTTGTGAGAAAATTGGAAATGTTGGCATTTCGATCTAATTTGGAATTATTTTTTTTCCCATGTCAGAATTTCCTGGGGAACATTAATTTTGTTAATAAACCAGCCCTACCACAACAATAACATTGATGATCACATTGTTAATAATGATACTAACTCTCAGCTCCTGGATCCTGGTTGGATAACAAGCCCAGAGCTGCTTGGCTGCTGCATCATTCCAGTAGAGATTAGTCATTGCTTCCACATGAGTGCTGAGGCTGCTGGCAGTGGATGGGGTGCATAGGGTGGAATAGATCCAAAATGATCGAAGGTAGAGATGACAATGATCAAAGGTAGAGGCGAAGTCTTGATTCAGACTATGTCAAACAAGCAAAACTTGGGGGTAATTTCAAATTTGTACGGTATTACTCATCTTGACATAGTTTCTGAAACTCAGAAATGCACATTAAAATAAAGTGATGCAGGCTTGTGACTCCTGCATTCAAACATGCTGAGGACTTGAATAGCAAGTAGATGCAGAAGAGGCAATGAAGTTACAGCCTCTGAGTGTCTGCTGTAGAGGTGAGGTGTATATGCCACTTACTGTGCATCCAACCAAAGGGCTGCAAAAATTCATACAACCTTATGGCACAGCTCATTTTTACTTACTGTTGGAAGAGCTCTCTAGTCTCCTTATGACACTGATTCACAGTGCTGGGGATGCGATCACAGATAACTAATCTCAGCTCAGGTATGTGGAGTTTACTCATTTAGACATTGGACACCCAAGATAGGTTGGGACGGCTGCTGTCCCCAAGCCAAGTAATTATTAGCAATCTGGAGGGTGAGGAGCATGGGCAGAGCAATGACTTAGCAGCTCAGGTCCAACCAACCCAAATAAAGAGGGACCCACAGCAGATCTCTTTGCCATGTGTTCCAGTGTTTCCACTGTCCTGGTTTCAGTTAGGACAGTTAATTTTCTTCCTAAATAGCTAGTAGAATGCTGTGTTTTGGCTTAGGATGAGAAGAGTGCTGATAACATGCTGATGTTTTAATTGTTACAGAGCAGTGCTTACACCAAGCCAAGGACTTTTCAGCTTCTTGCTCTGTCCTGCCAACGGGCAGGCTAGGGGTGCAGCAAGAGCTGGGAGGGGACAGACCCAGGACAGCTGACCCAAACTAGCCAAAGGGGGTATTCCATACCATCTGATGTCATGCTAAACAATATATAGGGGTGGCTAGCCGGGGGAAGGAGGGCTGGACTGCTTGGGGTTAGGCTTGGCATCAGTCAGCAGGTGGTGAGCAATTGCATGGTGCATCACTTGTTTTGTACACATTATTACTAGTAGTACTATTATCATCATTATTGTTATTATTATTGTTATTATTATTTTCCTGTCTTAATAAACTGTCTTTATCTCAACTCACAGGCTTCACTTTCCCATTTCTCTCCCCCATCCCAGAGAGGGAGGGGGGAGGGTGAGCGAACGGCTGTGTGGTGTTTAGCTGCCGGCCGGGTTAAACCACAAAACCAAGTACAAGTGTTTCCATTAACTAACATGGTTTGCCTGTAATATAAAAACTATTCATAAACTGTGTGTTTCTCTACAACTTTTCTTTCCCTTTGTCTGAACCAAGACTATCCATGCTTCTAGTGTATTAATGAGCAGAAATATATATTACATAAAGCAATAAAACCTAAATCCATGGAAGCTTTCAGGGTAGAAATGAACCTTGATTCTCTTTTCATAGTGTCACAAAGGTTAGATTTTGAGCTGACTTACAGCCCTTTCAAAAACCAAAATGAAGTGCTTAGCAAAGAATTTTAGTACTGTATTCAGCCCTGAACTGCCAAATTTACTGATCTCCAATAATCCGTTAACTCAGTCCAAAACAAGACCTTTCTCTTGACAGTTAGAGTTTTCACTGAGGTTTTGCCATACCAACAGGGATCTTGCTCCAGTGATCCTGATCCCTTCTAAACTCATTGGCTATGTGCACTGAGAACTAACTTAGCTCTTCAGAGCATTCTGAGCTGAACAACTCTTGCATTCAGTTTCTCGAAAATATACATATATGTAAAAAGCAGTGACCATACACATAACTGTGTGGTCTACCATGGACTGCCTAGATTAGCTTGACTAGGAATAAAGAAAAAACAAAATAGAAGGGCTGAGAGAGAGCTTGTTTTGTGAATTCTTTACCAAAGAGTCTAACTGTGATAGGTAACTTACGCACGGATGGAGTTAACAAGAAATTTCTTGTTAAATTCTAATAGCAGAATTTTCATATGTGAGAATGATTAAACATCAAACTATCCCAGGTTGTTTCTCAGTAGCAGGTGAAGTTTTCAGCATCGAAAATTAGCAAAAATCTTCTGTAGTTGGGAATGGAGTGAGTTTGGCCTTAAATATCTGAGTCAGTATGGGAAGCCACAGCATGGGTTTCACAGCCACATTTCAGAGCAGAACTGGGCTTTGAGGATTGTCTCTGCCCTTTCAGCTCCTCCTGGTCTCTTCCTCTCGGTCTCTGAGCACTGTGAGTGAGACAAAGCTGAGCTTAAGGTGAGCTAAGGGTTGTTTTTCCTTGAGCCCAACCTCTAAGCCTGGTGTGGAAGAAATTGCATGCCTTCTGATCTGCCTTATGCCTTAGTAGGTGTTTCTCAGCATATGCAGGTAGAATCCCTACTCATGCACAATACATCCAAGACCCCAGGAAATGCAGTTGGCATTTCTGAAAGAATTTTCCAGTTTTACAGAGCAAACTGCTGGCTCTGGTGACGACAGTGGAAATTCTGCAACTAATTGCAGCAAAGCCAAGATTTTACCCATTCTATAATAATGTGGATCTCAAATCTCACAGCAGAAGTGCTCTGGGGTATGTTCAAATGAAATTTTCCCTGCTATTCTGGACCATGGTCTTCTCCTGGGCAGAATTTTCTCAATCCTAACAGACACCTAAGGGGGTCAGTGTTTGTTTAACACTTTCAGACTGTTTCATATCTAGTTTATTATGCCAATAACTGCACATTGCATCTAACTGGACTGCAGCAAGGACTGGGGAAGGGATAGTTGCTTAGTTGGGAGACTGAGGAAGAGGCAGACAAGAGGTGAGGGGAAGAATGAAAAGCTTGGCATGAAATAGGGGAACCTGACTGTGGGCCACTAAGGTTCAAAAGTAATTTAGTTAAGCAGATGACCGTGTGCCTAATTAGTTAATTATCCCACCATCCCACTATCCCCTCCATTTGGAAGAAACCCTGTCACCATCCTCATGACCTCCAGGAAATACACAAGATGCAAAGGATCAGCTGTTCCTTTGTGACAGTCCTTTTAACAAATTAGTGGGGAAAATTGTGCTTAGCAAATATTCATTAGGACTTCATTTTCCATTAATCCAAAAGGAAATGTGGAGAGTTTGTGACTTCAATAATGCTGAGGCCCAGGAATTTTAATGAGATTTAAATGGGCAGCTGTCAGAATCCTGACTTTGCTGTACTTCTCCTGCCAGCCAGGGGGGTAATTGCTAATAAAAGGTGGGAGCATCTAGGCAAACTCCTCTCCCTAACAGGAAAGGCAAAGTTGTAATTTGCTGTGTTATGACACCGTAATTATGCCCTGATGAAGAAAAGGAGCGTATTAAGAAACCCTTTACTTCCCCACACTGTGCCCCAGCCATAAATGCGGGAAAGCTGGCTCAGTCAGGTCACAGGGTTGTAGGAACAGGGACTGGGTGGGAGGAGTATTACCTGGTATTCCTTCCACACTTCCTATTTCTCTCTGTCCTCTTACCATCACAACAAGGAACATGCACTAATTCCCCTTCATCTTGACCCCCCTGAGCAAACCAGAGTTGGAGTTACCTTTGGAGGTGTCGTGGTTCTGCTCGAGTGGGCAGCCGAGCTCCACCACAGCCGCTCTCTCACTCCCCCTCCTCAAAGAGGAATGGGGAGAAAATATGTGAAAGGGGCTCAAGGATTGAGATAAGGATGAGAAAATCACGCAATAATTAGTGTAACGGGCAAACCAGACTCAGCATAAGAAGACAGATAGTAAGATTTATTGCTCATTACTAACAAACTAGAGAAGTGAGAAACAAAGGAAAGAAACCAAAAGCACCTCCCCCCCATCCACCCTCTTCCACCTCCTCCCCCCGAGCGGCGCAGGGGAATGGGGGAATGGGGGTTATGGTCAGTCTACAGCGCTTCTTCTCTGCCGCTCCTTCTCGGTCACTCTCGTCCCCTGTGCTGTGGGGTCCCACCCACGGGATGCAGTCCTTGACGAACTGATCCGGCGTGGGCTTCCCACAGGCAGCAGCTCTTCCAGAACTGCTCCAGATATGGGTCCGTACCACGGGGTCCATCCCTCAGGAGAAAACTGCTCCAACCTGGCTCCCCTATGGGCAGCAGCTCCTGCCAGGTCACCTGCTCCTGCGTGGGCTCCTCTCCACGGGCTACAGGTCCGTCCCGGAATCTGCTTCGGCAGGGGTCTTCCACAGGCGGCAGCCTCCATCGGTGCAGGGCCACCTGCTCCACCGTGGTCTCCTCCACGGGCTGCAGCGTGGAACCCTGCTCCACCGTGGTACTCCATGGGCTGCAGGGGGACATCCTGCTTCACCATGGTCCTCACCACAGGCCACAGGGGACTTCTGCTCCGGCGCCTGGAGCACCTCTCCCCCTCCTTCTACACTGACCTTGGCACCTGCAAGGCTGTTTCTCACTCCCTTGACTCTCCCGGCTGCTGTGCTGTGCAGCGTTTTTTCCCTGTCTTAAATATGCTCTCACAGAGGCGCAAAACAACATCGCTTATTGGCCCAGATCTGGAAAACAATGGGGCCCTTCCCAAACATGGGGCGGCTTCTAGATCTTTCTCACAGAAACCACCCCTATGGCCCCCTGCTACCAAAACCTTGCCATGTAAACCCACTACAGGAGGTCAGTGCAAAGCTGGGCAGCAGCTGGAAGTACCCTTGGAAATAATCCCAAGAAAAAAAACAATCCCAGCCTTCTGAAATTATACAGGTTTCTGCTAGTGGACACTGCAAGTGGTTTAAATGCTTTTTTTTTATTATTATTATTTATTTTTTTTTTCCAACAAAACCACTTTGAAACAAATGTTCCCTCTGGATTTTTACTCAATGTATTTATACACTATACTTAAAAATAAAAGTCACACTGATAAGCTTCGTTCTAAGCCAGAGGCAGATTCTCCCTCTTCTACCCCAAAATTTGATTCCAACAGAACATGTTCTGATTCTTTAACAAAACTGAATATTCCAATGAAAGACAATGAAAGACTCCTCTCTGGATATTTTTCCAAGTACCCTCTGAAGTCTGTAACCCTTTGAAGTTTGTTACAGCACTGACGCAAAAAAAAAAAAAAAAAAAAAAAAAGGCAATTTCTGTCCTGATGTCTAGTATTTTGGATTTGAATCCATCTATCATCTCTTTTGAAGAACCCCGTAGAACTGGGGGACATGACCAAACTGCCCAGATTTGGGGGAGTTCTTGGGCTGAGTCAAGCTGGGGAGGCTGAATGTAAAATTCTAAAATCAAAATAAGCCTGGGGGTTTCTGCATCTCTTTTTACTTGTTATCACAGTCCTCCCACAGACACGAGAAAGATAATGAAGCTTCTGTGTGCAGACACTGAGAAGAGGCAAGGGTTAGTGGTGGTCACCCAATACTCTACAGATTAAATGACGTTATGGGGAGCAAAGGAAAACTGTGATCTGCATCTTTCATTCTTTTTGCTCTTATTCCTACATTCTCTCTTTCCATGGTCACATGTGCTCTTGCATTCCTCTGTCGACCAGATTTTATCATGGTGTTTATCCTGGGAAGGTTAACATAGCCTGTGGGTGGCTTTCTGAACTCCCGGTCTTCTGAAAGTGTTTTGAAGACCAATATAGGAGAATAGGGAAGGGTCATTTGGACAGATGCCACATTGCTAGGAATATAGTTTTTCAAAGAGGATAAAATGGTAAAAATAAACAGACGAGCCAAGAAAACCTGTGAAAACACATCCCACAGCCACTCTTTCCCAGCTGAGGAAAGTCAGACATGCAGAGGTGTGGTGGTTTTACCATGCTGGGCAGCTAAACCCCACAACCGCTCTCTCACTCCCCCTCCTTTAGATGAGGAGGGGGAGAAGTAAAGCAAAGAACAACTCACGGGTTGAGATAAGGATAATTTAATTAAAGGGAAATAATTATAATAATTAAATAAAGACTACCATGAACTAAACAATTTAACTAAGGGGAAATAGAAAGGGAAGGGGGAAAAGGGAGGGGAAAAGGGAAAAATAAAAAGAAGGGAGGAAAACAAACAAATAAAATCAATGAAGGCTATGTGGAATTCCAGAGGAAAGAAATTACTCTCTACTTCCCACAAATGAGAGATGATTGACCACGTCCTTGAAGCAAGGCCTCAACGCACGCAGCCGGTGTTCTAGAGGAGGACCGACGTCTTCTCAACGAGAGCCCACCCCTCCCCTCTTCTTCCTGTTTCCACCTTTTATTGCTGAGTGTGACATCACATGGTATGGAATATCCCTTTGATTGGTTTAGGTCAGCTGCCCTAGGGATGTTTCTCTCCTCACTTTTTGCCCACCCCCTAGGAGGGATAGAGAAAGGCCCGATGCTGTGCCACTGCTGCTCAGCAGTAGACACAACACTGGTGTGATAACACTGCTGTTCCAGCTACAAGTGCCGAGTACGGCACTGTATGGGCTGCTGCCGGGAAAGTTAACATTCCAGCCAGACCCAGTACAACCTCCACCCCTTATTCCATAACATTTGTGTCACACTCAGATCCCCATACTTTAGCATACAAGCATTCTCATCATTATTCCTTGTCCTTTAACAGGACAAGGATTTAACAGGACAGGATTAATAGGCAGGTGTATCTTTTCATTCCATAGGTCTTTCTTGGAAAATGTTCATAAGAAATGTTGATGATTAGGTCTTCATCTGCCAAAGTGGCCACTCAAGGCAGGTGGAGTTGGATGTCTGGACACGAGCACCAGCTTAGCTCAAGTCCTTGTTGCACTGCCCGGCTCCTTGCAACGTTGACCTGTCGTTGATCCTACAGCATCTTCCTACAACATATAACTGAGATTACAGATTAGTTTTCTCTCAATGTCAAATATCCTTGAGGCACATACTTGATATCCCCATTCTTTTGCATGACACACGAGGTATACCCTGGTCCTTGGGCGAAGACAATCCCACGAGTGGGTTTGCCTTTTCCCAAGGCAGGAGCAACCCACACTGCCTTCCCCATCCACCTTCCTACATGCACTACGGGAACTTTAGTTCCTTTCACAGTGTGTAGGGGTTTTGTTTAGGCAGGACCAGCACGGCTGTCAGACCCCCTATTGTTAACTAGCCAAGTGGCTTCTGGTAGATTTGTGTCCCATTGTTTCCATGTCCCAGCACCTAATGCTCGTAACAGGCAGGCAGGGCAGGAGGCCGGTGTGGCTGACCAGGAACATTCTAATGGAAATTAGGCGGAAACAGAGAGTGTTTCGCTACTGGAAGGAGGGCCAGGTGTCATGGAAAGAATACAGGGATGCTGTTTGTGTTTGTAGGAAGAAAATTCGTGTGGCTAAAGCACACCTAGAGTTGAAGCTGGCTGTGTCTGTGAGAGAAAATAAAAAGGTTTTTTTTAGATATGTGAATGGAAAAAGGAGAACTAAAGAATACATAGGGCCGCTCCTTGATAGGGAAGGTCTCCTCACAGACAATGACATAGGCAAAGCAGAGACGCTTAACGCCTTCTTTGCCTCTGTCTTCAATGCCGATGATGGGCTTCGGGACCCAGGGTTCCCTAAGCTGGAGGACCGGGACAGTGATGATGAAAAACTCCCAACCGACCCTGAACGTGTGCGGGATTTGCTACTCTACCTGGATCCCTACAAGTCCATGGGTCCGGATGGGATTCATCCCCGGATGCTGAAAGAGCTGGCGGACGTCATCGCGGAACCTCTCTCAATTATTTTTCAACGATCCTGGGAATCTGGAGAGGTCCCGGTAGACTGGAAGATGGCAAATGTTGTGCCGATTTTCAAGAAGGGTCAGAAAGAAGACCCTAGCAATTACAGGCCTGTCAGTCTCACGTCAGTGCCTGGTAAAATCATGGAGAAGATGGTTCTCGAACTTATTGAGGCGCACTTGGGGGACAAAGCAGTCATTGGTCCCAGCCAGCATGGGTTTGTGAAGGGTATGTCCTGCCTAACTAACCTGATTTCCTTTTATGATAAGATCACCCGTATGGTGGACCAAGGGAAACCAGCGGATGTGATTTTTTTGGACTTCAGCAAGGCTTTTGACACGGTTTCCCATAGGATCCTACTGGACAAAATGTCCACCATACAGCTAAATAAAAACATCATACGATGGGTGAACAATTGGCTAACGGGCAGGGCCCAAAGGGTTATGGTAAATGGGGCTGCGTCGGGCTGGCGGGCGGTCACCAGTGGGGTGCCTCAAGGCTCCATTTTAGGGCCGGTACTTTTCAATATTTTTATAAAAGATCTGGATGTAGGAATAGAAGGTATTTTGAGCAAGTTTGCTGATGACACCAAACTTGGAGGAGTTGTGGACTCTGTTGAGGGTGGAAAGGCCTTGCAGAGGGATCTGGATAGGTTGGAGAGCTGGGCGATCACCAACCGCATGAAATTCAATAAGAGCAAGTGTCGGGTCCTGCACCTGGAACGGGGAAACCCTGGCTGCACGTACAGACTGGGCGATGAGACGCTGGAGAGCAGCCTAGAAGAGAGGGATCTGGGGGTCGTGGTAGACAGCAAGTTGAATATGAGCCAGCAGTGTGCCCTGGCAGCCAGGAGGGCCAACCGTGTCCTGGGGTGCATCAAGCACGGCATCGCTAGTAGGTCAAGGGAGGTGATTGTCCCGCTCTACTCTGCGCTGGTGCGGCCTCACCTCGAGTACTGTGTGCAGTTCTGGGCACCACAGTAGAAAAAGGACATGAAACTGTTGGAGAGTGTCCAGAGGAGGGCTACGAAGATGGTGAAAGGCCTGGAGGGGAAAACGTACGAGGAACGGCTGAGGGCACTGGGCCTGTTCAGCCTGGAGAAGAGGAGGCTGAGGGGAGACCTCATCGCAGTCTACAACTTCCTCGTAAGGGGGTGTCCAGA